CAGACGGGCTCAGGCAATCCACTCACCTCAGCCTCCCAAAGGCACAGGATTACAGGCTGAGCCACCGAGCCCGGCAAAGCACATTTTCTAAGTCTTTGCATGTCTGAAAGATCTATTCTTAGGCTTGAAAAATAGTTTCTGTAGATTTGCATTTCTATTTTAGAAATTATTTTTCCTTGGCATTTTGATGGTGTCCCTCCTAAGGCCTTTCTGGAGCTGTTGTTAAAAGATGTGAAGCCATTCTAATTACCCATACTCTGAATAAGGCTTTTTTTTTTCTAACTTGGAAGGTTTTAGGATGTTTTCTTTTTTCTTTTATTTTTAATTAATCAGTCTTTTTTATTATGGTTTTGTGGGGTACAGTTAAGGGTTAGGTGTACAATTACATTTCATTCAGGCACCTTGTTGATGAAAGGTGTTTTCCCATTCCCAGAAAGATATTTGCTACTGTTAATCCCATCCTCCTCCTCCCCCCATAGTTTCCCAGTACCATCAGTCATTTTCTTATAGTATTACATTGGACGTTCAAGGTCCATTATATGAGTGAGAACATGTGATACTCGGATCTTTGTTTCTGTGAGAGGTCACTCAGTATTATAGACTCTAGTTCCATCCAGGTTGCTGCAAAGTTCATGATTTTGTTCTTTTTTATGGTTGCATAGTATTCCATCGTGTATATGTACCACGTTTTTTTAATCCAGTCCTCTTTTGATGGGCAGCATGGTTGTTTCCAGGTTCTTGCTATTGTGAACAATGCTGCGATAAACATACGTGTGCAGGTATCTTTTTTATAGAGTGATTTGAGTTCTTCAGGGTATATTCCCAGTAGGGGGATTGCGGGATCATATGGAAGGTCGATTTTTAGAGCTTTTAGGAATCGCCACACTGCTTTCCACAGAGGTTGCACTAGTTTACACTCCCACCAACAGTGTAGAAGTGTTTCCTTTTCACCACAACCTCTCCAGCAGCTGTTATTTTTTGAGTTGTTGATAATTGCCATTCTGACTAGAGTTAGGTGGTATTTCAGTGTGGTTTTGATTTGCATCTCCCTGATGATTAGTGAGGTTGAGCATTTCTTCATGTGTTTGTTGGCTGCTCGGATGTCTTTTGTGAAGTGTCTGTTCATATCTTTTGCCCATTTTATAATGGAGTTGTTTGTTTTCTTCTCTTCAGTATGTTTCAGTTCCTTGTAGATCTAGGATGTTAAGCCTTTGTCAGACCTAGAGTTGGCAAATGCTTTTTCCCAATCTGTAGGCTGTATCCCTGCTCTCTTAATGGTTTCTTTGACTTTGCAGAAGCTTGTCAGTTTAATAAAGTCCCACTTGTCTATCTTCTCTCTTATGATCTGTGGGTTTCGGGTTTTGTACAGGAATTGGATGCCAGTTCCGATTTCCATGAGGGTATTTCCTTCCTTTTCTAAGGTTCTTATGGTTTGAGGTTTTACATTTAGGTCTCTGATCATTTGGAGTTAATTTTTGTGCATGGGGATAGATACGGGTCCTGTTTCAATCTTCTGCATGTGGTCAGCCAGTTTTCCCAGCACCATTTAGTGAACAGGTTCTCCTTTCCCCAGTGGTAGGTGGTGGGGGCTTTGTCGAAGATGAGTTGGTTGAGAAATTGGGGTTTTGCTTCTGGAATCTCAATTCTGTTCCATTGATCTATATGCCTGTT